TGTGAATCAAGGAGTTTAAAGGAATATATATATATATATATATATATATACATACATCTATATGTATATATATTTTTTCGAAGAATAGGAGCACCAAAGACATCCCTTCGATATTTTACCTTGTCACCAGTCTCAATTTCCTCCTATATATTTTCTATACTAATCGCATTACCGCCTCCTCTATGGGTTTTCGATAAAATTTACCACCATCTCGGGTGATCAGCGGTTGCGCTTGATCGGCTCTGTCTTTTTATTCATCGCGGTGTAGAAGAACTCCGTCATGGTGTAGGCGAAGATGAGCTTTGGCGACGAGGCCAGGAGTTTTGGCGTGAGGCCCTTAAAAAAAGACCCCACGCCCTCCTCCTTGAGCATCGCGCGGGTGGTCGCGAAGGTGGTGCGGCGGACCTCGGCGGTCTGGCGCTGCACGCGCGTCTTCACGACGTCCATCGGGCTCGTCAGGGCGACCGAAAGGGCGGCGCCGACGGTGGAGGCCGCGAGATTCTGCGCGACCGTCGCCGCGCGGGGGTCCGTCAGGCCGAAAATCTGCTGTTTGGTGAAGGCGGCGCCGCCGAAGAGGCAAAAGGAGCCCGGGGCGTTCCGCCCGGCGGTGATGGCGGCCCCGGCGTACATCCCCCGCAGGCCCTCGGCGCGGAGGAGGGCGGCGAGCCCGCGCGTGAAGGCCCCGGGGTTGGTTTGGCTGAGGACCTTGAGCCGGTCCAGCGGGAGGAGGGCGACCTCGCCGACGCCGATGAGGCTGCCGGCCACGGCGTCCTCCATCACCGCGGCGGCCCCCCCGAAGCCGCGCGTGAGGTCCCCGCGCAGGGGCACCACAACGCGATCCCGCACCACCGGCTGCCCCGCAAACTTGTAGACCCGCTGAAGGACCTTGTAGAAGACGGCGTAGAGTGAGCCGGGGTAGAGGTGGGCGAGCTTCGTCAGCGGGCCCGCGGCGGCGTGGGGGCCGAAAATCACCCGGTTCAAGTTCCCCAAGGTCTCTCTGGGGTGAGAGGAGACGATCGTCGTCGGGTTCGCCATCAGCCGCTTCGTCAGGGTGTCGAAGGGGTGGAAAAAGGCGATCTCGAGGGTCCCCGCCGCCGTCGCGGCCCCGGCGTGGCTGCGGGCGAAGCGGCTCAGGCCCCCGCGCGAGGGCGGCGTGCGATCGTACAGACTCACAGTGGCCATCGGTGAATTATAAGAGGGGGGAGAAAAGGGATTGCGAACAAAACGAATTTTTTTCTTTTTTTTTGAGGAGGAGGGGGTGGAGGTCTTGGGATACTTGGCTAAGATGTGTATTCCCTTTTTTCCTTCAGTGTTATTAGTTTTTTTTTTTATAGGTGTATGTGAAAAATCTTGGGTTTGAGGAGTCAATTTGTGAATAAAAGTGGATGGGGTATGGGGGTGGGGGTTGCAGTTTGCCATCGAGGTTGCCCTCCCGTGGAGAGTAAAAGGGTGGCGTGGGTTGAACAAGCCGCGAGATCAAGAACGGAACCGACTCGGAAACGTTATGAAAGACCACCACCGCAAGAGGAATGGGGGAATCTTTCAAAAACGTTATTTGTGATGATGTACGGCAAGATATAGGAATAATAATAATACGAATCGAATCCTCGGACACGATATGCATCCACTCCTTTTCCTTCTTTTCTAAGAGGCCTGAAGTTTTTTCTGCATATGCGTACATTTTAAAAAAATTGCTACAAATCTGATCCCTTCTTCATCTGACACTCAACGTTGTTTTTTTTACTATTATTACAGCAATTTTTTTAATATTATTTTTCGACGCCGTTGAGAATTTTACATTAACCGATGTTTAATCTTTAGTTAGTTATCCTAACCACCACAACACATTGTCTGGTGATCATCCCAAAAGCAAACTCAGCCCAATTCATTGCGTCATCGACACACAAAATACGGTTATATTGGGGTAAGATGGAATGGCCCACCATAAATCTATCGATATATATATATATATATATATATGTATATATATATTGTATTTATCACGCCCCATCACCTTCCCCCCCGGCTGGAGGATTTGGCGCACCGGAGATCCCCTTCTTCGGGCGTGCTTTCCCTCTTGCCATAATCGCATCGACCGTTTTCATGATGTGTTGTTGGGCCTGAAGTTGGCCCATCACCTGATTATACCGCCGCTCGCGCTGCGTTTCCGCGATTTCGTGCTCTTTTTCTCGCGCCCGCCGCTCCACCGTGGCCTCGGCCGTGAGGTGTCGAATAACGCGCTTCTTATCCTCGCGAATTTCGTGTTTGATCTCACGAATCTCCGACTTCACCGCATTTTCCTCCCGCTCCGCGAGTAGCGGCTCGAATTGCCGAATCGGGCGAACGCGAAAGGTCCGAAGCGCCAGCGGCGTGCGATGGGCCTCGGCGTTAACGCAATATTCTTTGATCTTGGCCGAAATCGCCGCGTGCGCGCGTCGTATGGCCTCCCACTTTTCGTCCTCCAATGAAGAGGAGGAGGAAGTGGGGTTAAACGCGGGGTGGTGTTGGCGAAGGAGGTCCTCGAGGGCCTTAAAAGGGGCGTCGAAGATCGCCGGGAAGGCCGCCATCCCGCGATACAGATCGACCAAAACGTCCAGTTGGTGATACGCGCACAGGACAAGATTCTCCGCGTCGTGATGCGTTTCGAGCATTCTCCAGCGATTGCGCAATTCGCCATTTTCCGCGCTTTCGTCCTTACTTTTGGGCGTTTGGGGGTGAAAATCGCCAAGTAGGGCGTCCTCGCCGCGCTCGACGAGCAGGATTGGGAGTTTGAGGCCCTGATGTTTGGTGGGTTCGAGCACACGGCGTGGGAGCTGCAAAGCGAGCAGGTTAAACGCCGCCACCACCGCTTCCGCCGCGAATTTTCCATTTCCATCGCGCAAACTTTCGATGAGAATCGCATTCAATCCCACGTAGCTATGCACCCCCTCCAAGTTTTCCAACCGCATCTGCATGAGCGCGGAGGAGAGGAAAATCAGAAACGGCGTCCCCACCGCATGTCGGTAATCCGTCATCGGGAAGAGCTTCGCGATGGTAAAAAGACAAAGAAGGAGGGGCCGGCTCAGGCCGAGGCGGCGTTTACGAAAAAACGCGCGCTCGGCCTCGATCAAAATCGCGCGAAAGGCATTCGCGACCTCGCAAAGATGCCCCCTGGCGTGTTGATGAAGTCGCGAAAGCAGCCCCGCGTACGTCCTCCCCCGCACCGCGGAAGCCGAAGACGACGAAGCGGGTGGGGCAGGGGGGCCCGCCGCGGGCGTCGCGTCTTCGCCTTCCGGGCGGACCGCCAGGGCCTCGATGTCGGCCAACATCCGATCCAACACGCGCGACCCCACCCACCCCCCGCCGGATGGCGCCTCGTCCGCGGCCTCGGAGGGCTGCTCGGCGTCGCTTTCCGCGTTTT